ACATAGAATCATTTTTCCTGTAACAACGTGTGAGCCTTTCAGCTCTCTCAGTCAAAGTGCAGCCTGATTCAAGCGTGGGAATCCCTGTGAGAGCGACAAGACGTCGCTGCTTTCATGGCATAAAACTTTAATGAGAACAAAACTGTTACACATCCGTTAAGCAGCCACTGAGGTCTGCTCCTTTATTGACTTGACTCTGGGTGACAAGACCACACACACACACACTGTTAGACAACAAACACACACGAGTAGGAGTTCTAACTGTGTTGGAGGTTGGAGATTAGGTGAGATAGATATTTATGGTTCTTGCTGTGCTATTCACCTTCATACAAACATTATGTCTGACAAAAATGGAAATGAATGGCTAGAATCATTTTTAACTGATTAATGGAGCATTTTAAAATAATAATTAGCTCTGTTAATAGACTACTCATGTATTTTACCCGAGGGCAAAATACATGATCTCAAGTGTCAGATATACACCAGATACCCTACATCATTTGAGCTGAGAGAAAAACACGCATGCCCAGGTCAGAACTGTGTCTGGTGATGGCTGAGATTTTTTTTTTTTTTTTTTTTATGCTGGCAGTGTGTGAAAAATCGATGGTATAGCTTTGTGCCAGCCCCGGGCCGTGCAGGTCCCAGCGGATTGGCTCCGTTTATTGTGCTCAAAAAAAGGCAATTACAATGTTAATGTGTCACAGCAGGAGAGTGAACCCGAGCCGATCCAGCAAGGGGGACGTCAGAAGGTGATGGAGAGAGCGGAGTCACTGTGGGTTAACAGCAAAACAGCGTCTGGGGAGCGTTTTATATCAAATACACAAGCAGGAGGAGAAGGAGTACACTCACCAATGCTTTCAGTTTATATTAATGATATAATATAATATAATATAATATAATATAATATAATATAATAGATAGATAGATAGATAGATAGATAGATAGATAGATAGATAGATAGATAGATAGATAGATAGATAGATAGATAGATAGATAGATAGATAGATAGATAGATAGATAGATAGATAGATAGATAGATAGATAGATAGATAGATAGATAGATAGATAGATAGAGTAGAAGAATTCCTCTTGCTATTTGTCATTGTTGTCGTGCAGACAGAAGCCACCAAGCAGGACTAATACAAACCCATCAATGTGGAAGTCTCACGGGAGCCCATAATAAGCCATTAAACAGGCGCATTAGGAGTAATGAAAAGGCTCTTAGTGGTTTACCACTGCAGGCCACCTGGATTACTCTTCGTGGAAGTGGGCGGCGGCTGTGGTTGTCTAACGGCTCGGCTGCAGCACAGTGAGGTCAGAAAAAATATGATAATGTGAGCTCTACTCTGCATATCTATACAAGCTTTAAATGCTTGATTTGTAATTAAAATGTTTAAACTAGGGAAATTACGCACAGACGACGTGGCTGATACGGCAAAATTACGCATTCATATGAACACATTTTGACGAGGACCTCCTCCTACAGAAGGCACCGGTAGCCCACTTTGAGGGACACCTGTCTCAGCTGTGCTGACTGCTGGTGTCAGTTTGACTTAAGTGTTTTTTTGTAATGCGAGGTTTAAGCGGTAATACCCATAAAGTTAATCTCACGCTTTTTTCTGGCCTAATCTAAAGTTTAGATTTCAGGTATAACTTATAATAAAGTTCCCTGAACCCAAATCCTGCAGGAATATATATAAAAAAGACAAAAACACTCGGCTGAAAGTGATGCGTGGTTCACGTGGCACAGAGAAATATTCTTTTCTCTCTGCTTTCCAAACGATTCACAGCAGACAACACACAATCCAGTCGATAGCACAGGCAGAGCGCTACCTGTGATTGTGATGCAAATGTTAATGGACTCTGAGGTCCTCTGATTAGCCTGATGTGGGCTAATTTCCCTGCTCTAATCCCCAGAGAGCGAAGAGTGCCATTTCACCGTCCCTTATTAATTGAGGAGTGTTGGGGTGGTATTTTCTGCCTCGCTGAGCAGGCGCAGCAGCCGGACAGTCGTGGGTTAAATGGAAGGTAATATGGCACAGGATCCAGAAATCTTAACCAAAAACCCCCACATTAAAACGGCCGCATGTGCGCGTTTTGTTGGCATCACTGTCTCGTGTCGGCTCGGCTTGGTTCGTGCGCCAAACACACAAACACACAAATAGTGGCACAGTGCCATATCTTTCTATTGTTTCATTGAAAACATTCATGGCTGAACTGCAGACGCTGCAAAAGCAAAAGTTGACTATAATTGTATTCAGCGATGCCATGGTAACATAAAACCACTGTTAATCTTTGACACTGCACCGGCGTAAAGACGTCAGAAGCCCAACATTAGCCTAAGTATAATTTTCCTTTTGATCCAATAGTCTGGTTTATGGTGGCCAACAAAAGCAAACTGCCGCCCCGGTTTATTCGGTTATTTATTTGTTCGGCCTTGTTCTCGGAATGATCTTTCTGAGAGAAAATGTTTCCTGCAATTGAAAATTATTTTATGAATCGAGAAATGGGGAGGGGCGGGGTGGGTGGGGGTCTTGTGCCAGCTCACCCATGTGTGTAATGCGAAATTTTTAAAGAAAGAAAAATGTAGGGCCGGGAGGGGGCTGAGACACTGAGGAGAGAGATGGGAGGGAGGGAAAGCTGTGCATGCGGTGGGGGTGCGTGGGCTGAAATACTGAAATAAAATGAATCTGAGGACAAACTGAGATCACGATGCAATTTTGGATTCTTCCACCACAAAAAAGGCCGAATGGCAACGTAGATGACTCGAACATGTGAGTCAACATACAAAAGCAGCGCAAACTAGACAAAGAGCTTTGATCGGCCATATCTGTGTCGACAGAGATGTGGATCCTCCTGGGACGTGGCACCCTGACCCTCTGACGACTCTCGGGATGGGTGATAAACTGGGGGGTGGGGGGGGGGGGGGGATCACTTTCTTGCAAGGATATCACAGCAGCGTGCTCGGATACAAACACAACGAATACTAGCTCATTCTGCCAGTTTATCATTTTATTATTAATAATAATAGCAATAATAACAATAATAATAACAACAACAACAACAACAATAATAATAATAATAATAATAACAATAATAATAATGTGACATGACAGAAAAAGGGCTCTTATTTGTTTGAAAGTTGTTTGTTATCCTTGTGCACGATTTTGCGTCATCACATGACCATAAAACCAAACTTTTACTGCAAAGTCAGACCAAATATCCACAAATGTATTATTATTATTATTATTATTATTATTATTATTATTATTATTATTATTATTATTATTATGTGTACAGCAGGTCGTGAGGAGGTCTGCAGCCGCTGTAACCTGCTGGCTGGTGGTGTCACGGCTGCTCTTTTCATCTCGCAGCACACTTCATCAGACAGTGCGGAGCGCAGATCAGAGGAGGGCTGCAGCCCGCTGATAACAGCCTCTGTCATTAACTCCTTCATTCAGGCCAAGGGAAAGCGGCCATTTTCGTTCCCACAGCTGGAAGTTTAAAGGGAAAAAAGGCACACAAAGGCGCGTTTGCCTCGTATTTTCTGATTCAAACGCACTGATTTAAGCTTTTAATGCTGATGCACAGGCCCGATAAAGAGCAGGCCTGCACTCCAGTCTGAGCCAGTCAGCGCGATCGTCGTGATGCAGTTTGGCTCCGGGGTGGATTTGGCTTGACACCGTTCAATTCTGCTACAGAGAGAAGAAAAATACATCTTTCTAGCTATTTTGCTAAAAGGTTTACATCACGCGTTTCATTTGAAGCAAAATGGTTAATTATAGTTTAATATAATGGCTCTTAATAGTTATGGAGTGTTAAAAAATACTGGGAAAAAACAGTTTGATATTGTCTGATTTTGTGGTTGCTGTTTGCTGATGGCCAACTGGAGATGAGTCAGCTGTATTTCTAGGGAGATGCATTTCTGGTCTTATCGGGTTACAAGCTATTGAAGAACCCAACGTGAAAGCTTTTAATAGGCCGCATTATTTATTCTCAGGTCCAAGTAAATGCTCTCCCAATGGAACTCACACAGACAGCAATGCAGCACACTGTCTGTTAGTTCAGGCTTCTTTTTTGCTTTTTTCTCGTACCGAGCAAGGCCCCGGCTTTGTGTTACGGCGATGAACTCTGATACTGCAGCCTGGGGAAACACTGAGCATGGTGTGCACATCGCACAAAGTGCTAGTGACAAGGCAATGTCAACAAACCGTTTACAGCAATTTGAGCCTTTGTTACCGCCTCACTTAACCTACATTTACAAAAACAAATAAAAGCCGAAGGATTTCAAGCATTTTTTGTAAAGATGAGGAGAACTCAGATCAGCCAAAAGTTAAAATAAGGATATTTATTAATTCTACTTACGGTATGTTTAGAAGATAGTTTGTTGGCACCCAAATAAAATATCAGACCCAATCATCTGGGTTTAATTCAGGCTGACATATCACTAATCCCCTGTCACGTTTTTTATGTTCAAACTACGTATTTTATTTTCTTAATGAATAAATCTCGCAGCGAAATATAGTTTTCTTAAAGGGAGCATCGCCACGGGTCAGACTGTAACATCACAGATGCAAAATCATGAATGAGTGAATGTGAGTGAATGAATGAGTATGCTGAATGAAGGCTTCAGCCTGCAATAGAGCCACTAAATGAGCTGCGGGTTTCAAACACAAGCTCAAATTCTACGTCTTACCACCTTTTAGCAAAGACAAAACGCGCGAGATCACATCCCCTGATCAATTAATCAACCCCAAAGCGATGTTTGAAACCCCGATCCAGGTAATCCCAGAAACAATTAAGTTAACTATTACGCTGCTCCGCGTCCTCTTCTTCTTAAAAAGAAATGACATTTGATAAAAGAAGAAATAATTACACCTTTTATTCCTACATCATACAATCTGGTCCGGAGAGCTTGGGGTTTCGTCAAATTTCAGCTTCCTTTTATATGGGTAAAGTTATGCAAGGTTTGAGGCCCCCGGAATGCCATTGGTTGTTGGGATGAGGTATTATAGATTATGGGTTGGGGGTGGTGGGGGTACTGCAAGCACCTCCCCTAGAAATGCAGCAAATCTCTCCCGTTTTCTCCTGGTGGGGCACTGGGAGGGCTGGAGACGTGCTTTGCATTGGCAGGCTGGTGAGGACACGTGTCTCCTCCCTGCCTCCCCCCCGGGCTCCACGGTACCGCATTGGCATCAGTAAAGGCACCTGAAAGACGAGAAGTAACTCCTGGAAGCGCTGCCTGCCACCTTATAACCCAAAAGAAAGCGATCTTACAGGCCTGCAATAACCTGTGGCTCGCCTTTTGTCGTGCGTAAAGCTTTTGCGCACGCCGCTGAACTGCCTCAGAGACTGAGAAGGTGCGCTACGCGTCGAGCATCAGAGCGCAGTGCCAAGATGCAGAAACGGAGCAGCGACGTCTGAAGGTGACATGAACCTGGGGATAACGACAGGCTGCAGACGAGCAGTGACTAAAAAGTGGAGATAGCAACTGAAAACCGACGGTGTCTTCAACCAACATTTGCGCTTTCCTTCGTGGCTTTATCTAATGCAGAGAATCAAGAGCTGCAATCCAAAGTAGCCTCATTTTTTTTACTGACTGGAGGAGACAAACACTAATTAAGCTGCAGACAGTTCGGAATCCGGAGAGGTTCGAAAAATGGCGACGTTAATCAGAAGCAAGCTTTCCAATAAACTGACAAATGCAGCCACGGCTGTGTCCAACAAATCCCAGGCAAAGGTGAGCGGGATGTTCGCCAGGATGGGGTTTCAGGCCGCCACCGACGAAGAGGCTCTGGGTTTCGCCGCCTGCGATGACCTGGACTACGACCACCGGCAAGGCATGCAGATGGACATTTTAACATCCGATGAAATGGGGGGAGAGGGGAGCGGAGATGGAGGCGCACTGGATGGGGACAGCCACTACCAGAGGGACGGCACCGGTCCACCGCACTCTGCCTCAAAGGACGGAGATCCGACGAACGAGTTGACCGAAGTCAGACCAAAAATCACCGCTTGGGAGGCGGGCTGGAACGTCACGAACGCAATCCAGGTAAAAACGCACCCCCTCCACGGATTGTTCTGGGTTCCAAATGGTTGAGCCGCTTCCGAAGCATCCGAGAAATTCGAGATAAATAAATATCTACGAACACATCAAAATAATTATACACAAAGAAAAAAAATCAGCAGGCTTTTCCCTTTGAAGCAACTTTGTGAAGTGGCTGGTTTTTAAATTAAAGTCTGGCAAATATCCACTTTCTTTAAACCTTTTAAGTGCGTTCTCATGATCTCTGATCACAACAGTGCAGAGATTTTTTAGACTTTTATGCGCTATAAAGGGGGGGGATAGTTGATGCCCTGGCCCCCTCCTTTTCTCGACATGCACATTCTTTGTCTGGAGTAATGTGCTGTGTAGCTGATGCACGTCCCCGATAAATGCTCTCACAATACTCCGCGTGGGAATAAATAAGTGGATGGAGGAATTTTTGTGTAGACTCTAGAATAAAAAGAAAACCAAAACCTGCATTTTAAAAATGTTTTATAATTTTGTTTATATTAAAATCTAAATCCAGCTAAGTTAAAAGTAAGAATAACACTGTAGTTATGCAGGAAAATTGGTTTTATGATCAAGTCCAAGTGACATTTTAGACTAAAACCATAAAGACGCGGCTGAAAAATATGAAATTTCAAATTACAGAGATCAGTGTGTGTGCAAAAAGCTGCATTTCGAAAAAGTATTTATTTTTTATTTTATCTTTTCATGTGGGGAAAAAAATCACCACTTTAAAGTGGAGCATTTACTCGAGAGAGCCTGTGTGTACGCGTGCGCGCGTGTGTGTGTGTGGAGGCTATGCGACAAAAATCCCTCTAGACGCAATCCTTTTTATGCTTTATCGGGGCTGTGGTCGCGGCAGTCACCCTGACGTCAGAGTGTGTCTCCTCCAGCTCGTGATGACGTCAGAAGCGGGCAGATGCGCTCAAAGCCAAGTGGAAAACCCACAACATGAAAAGGGGAGTGAGATTCACTGAAGGGTCGGGCAGAGCAGCCTCAAAGCACACATTAAAACATCATCTAGTTACACGAATAAAAAATACTATGATAAGAAAAATAATTAATGATTAAATTAATACTTTTCATTTAACAACTTAATATAGCGCACAGCCTAATATTAGCGATGCTTTATTTGTCTGTGTTTGTAGGGGATGTTCGTTCTGGGCCTGCCCTACGCCATCCTGCACGGAGGATACCTCGGACTCTTTCTCATTATTTTCGCCGCTGTGGTGTGCTGCTACACGGGGAAAATCCTCATTGCCTGCCTGTACGAGGAGGACGAAGACGGACAGCTCGTCCGTGTGAGGGATTCTTATGTGGACATTGCCAACGCTTGCTGCGCGCCCAGATTCCCGTCTCTAGGTGGCCATATCGTGAATGTAGCCCAAATCATAGAGCTAGTGATGACTTGCATCCTGTACGTGGTGGTCAGCGGTAATCTCATGTACAACAGCTTCCCCAACATGCCAATTTCCCAGAAGTCCTGGGCCATCATCGCCACCGCTGCTCTCCTCCCCTGCGCCTTTCTCAAGAACCTGAAAGCCGTCTCCAAGTTCAGCTTGCTTTGCACGTTAGCCCACTTTGTCATTAACGTCCTCGTTATAGCGTACTGCCTCTCCAGAGCGAGGGACTGGGCCTGGGACAAGGTGAAGTTTTACATCGATGTCAAGAAATTCCCCATCTCCATTGGGATTATTGTGTTCAGCTACACCTCGCAGATCTTCCTGCCGTCTCTGGAGGGGAACATGCAGAAACCGAGCGAGTTTCACTGCATGATGAACTGGACTCACATCGCTGCCTGCATCCTCAAGGGTCTATTCGCCCTGGTGGCCTACCTGACCTGGGCTGATGAAACCAAGGAGGTCATCACAGACAACCTGCCCCCAACCATCCGAGCTGTCGTCAACCTCTTCCTCGTGTCCAAAGCTTTGCTGTCGTATCCGCTGCCGTTTTTCGCTGCTGTCGAGGTATTAGAGAAAACATTTTTCAACGAAGGGGGACGCGCCTACTTTCCAGATTGCTACGGAGGCGATGGACGCCTAAAGTCCTGGGGACTCACTCTCCGATGTAGCCTTGTTGTGTTCACCCTGCTCATGGCGATCTATGTGCCACATTTCGCCCTCCTCATGGGCCTCACCGGCAGCCTGACGGGCGCAGGCCTTTGCTTTCTGCTTCCCAGTCTCTTCCACCTCAAGCTTTTATGGAGAAAGCTGCTATGGCACCAGGTTTTCTTTGATGTCGCCATCTTTGTAATAGGAGGTATATGCAGCATATCTGGTTTCATCCACTCAATGGAGGGGCTCATAGAGGCTTTTAGATATAACATACAAGAATAATTGCAAGCCATTGCTGGAACTAGATGTTAACTGCAAGTCTCCATTTAGTGAAAAAAATAAAATAAAATAAAATAAAATTTAAAAAACACATGACTTCCTGGCGAGCGCAGTCCCTTCTGCTTAATTCATGCGTAAAAGTGCGCACAGAGCACACGCGGACATTTTCGCACTCATACAGTGCTTGCATCAGTCTACACACACACACACACACACACACACACACACACACACACACACACACACACACACACAGTTGGTGGCAGTGAGGGAATCTAATGCATCCACGACACACTTTAGCCTACGGACAATACATGTTGTATAAATATGCCAACAAGAGTACATATACATATTTTCCAGTGGAGTGAACGTTTACAATATCGACCTTAAAACAAAATTGCAAAAAGGGCAGTTCGCCTTTTCGTCGCTCTTGTGGTGCTTCCCCACACGAGACTTCACTTCATGTAACGCTCGAGTTTGTGATGGACGGACTTGTTGTGATTTAATGATGTTTAAGATGTTTTAAAGGGATTAAAACACACGCGCGCGCACACACGCAACACCACTTCTTTTTTTTTAGGTGATTCGCAATTTGACTGCGGGCTTTGAGTGTGGCATTAAACCCAAAATCGAACGCCTGTGCATCTAAAAGATAAAATAAGACAACGGCAATAAGAGATAGAAACACACGACGGCGTAAAGACGATAAAAAGTAATTGTGAAGTTTCCTGAGAAATACGCAAAAATTGACTTTCCCCGATTATTTAATATTCTGGCAATGCAAAATATCAGAGAGTACACAGCAGCTAAACAAACTATGCATTGAATGTATGATATTTTAGACACAAATACATTGAAACTGGGAAGTGGAAATTTAAGAATCCTTTAATTTTCGGTTCATCCTCGTGTAATAGTAACGCTTTGTTGATAGGCCTGGTTTGTTTTTTTTCTTCGATATTTACTTTAATTCACTTTTCAATCGGCAATAACGTCCAGCCCCACAGATCTCAGCAGCACGGGGAGTATTAAATGAAATAATACACACACATAAGAAATAGAACGAAAACACGCACATGCACGCACACACACGCGGCCTGTTCGTTTTTTATTTCTAATTAATTTTGAAAATCTCATGTCTCGGAAAAAAAAAATTCGGTGTCTGAAAATCTAAAAGAGAGAGATCGTTAAAGAGGAAAATGTGCATACAGACATTTTTCATTCTGTGCAATCCAATGGGTCCTGTGGAAATGTTATAAAACCGTATGTGTAGTGTGTTATTGTGGTTTCAAAAAGATGGAATGTATATCTCAAAGTCGTTATCATATATCGTGAAAATTAATATTAAAGAATAAAGAAATAAGTGAAATTATATTGTAAAAATGTGTGTGGTTTTATGTAAAACGAGAATCGGTCAGAACATGTATTTTTTTCTCTATAATAAAAGATAGAAAACGATGGTTAGTCGCATTCATATTTGTTAAATTCAAACTGAGGTTCAACGCGCAGAGTTAAGACTGCGCAGGCCCGTGACTTAGAAAAATAACCATATAATGTGTGTGCGAGTGAGTGAGAGGAGGGTATGTGGTCATACTACTACTACTACACAATCCGATTACCGTTTCAGCTCCACCCGTCATAGACCTGAGTCTGCAGAGACATCCACAGCGCGCACGTTTTCCACCAGGCCTCACATTCCTGCGTGTTCACATAAAATGTCGACAGATTTTCTGCTGCAGGCACTCATCAGGGCCTCATGGCCGACCTGTTTATCCACTCTGTTGATTTTATCCCGCCTCCTCTCAAGCTGTCAAGTTTCAACTTTACCAAGTGCGCCATACTAGTCAGTCAGGTATGGATTTTCCTTATAGCGCGGAACCCATCAAAATGAGTGCGCATTTAAAGGCGGGGTTACTGCAGAAAACAGGTTTTACAAAGCTCACTAGCTTGAATGTGATTTACGGCTCTCAAAAGGTGGAGATGCTTCACAGGTTTAACTGCAGACAAAAACAAAAATGAAAAAAAAAAGGCTTAGTTTGGTTTCAAGGTGTAATAGAAAACAAACAAAACTCCATCACGCATCAGTATTTTAAGTGAGCCACCCTAGAGAGCATGACATTATAGAACCAGAATTTACGGAATGTATGGGTTGAAAATATTAACGAAAACAACGAATTTTGTTACTAAAAATGAGTCTGATCGTCCCGTGATGATCTCAGTGACACATGGCAGGGGAGCCCCCTAGTGGACACAAACTGAAAATACTAGCTGGAAGCAGAGAGACTTATTGACTCCATTTCTTAAAATCTTTTCACAATAGCACGAGTTCTTTCGTGACCATTCCGGGACAAAACTACATTATTTTTACTGTAAACATTAAAAGACAGCAGGTCACAGTTGTTCTTGATGCTTTATTAAATACAACTTTGAAATAAGCTGTATAACCATGCTGAGGCACTCCATCCACAGCTGTGGCTCAGGAGGCAAATTATCTACAGATTCAGTCCCAGCTCTTACATTATGCTTGTCAGATGGTCTTTGGCCAAAAGTACAGTGGGGCAAAAAAGTATTTAGTCAGCCACCGATTGTGCAAGTTCCCCCACCTAAAATGATGACAGAGGTCAGTAATTTGCACCAGAGGTACACTTCAACTGTGAGAGACAGAATGTGAAAAAAAAAAATCCATGAATCCACATGGTAGGATTTGTAAAGAATTTATTCGTAAATCAGGGTGGAAAATAAGTATTTGGTCAATAACAAAAATACAACTCAATACTTTGTAACATAACCTTTGTTGGCAATAAAAGAGGTCAAACGTTTACTATAGGTCTTTACCAGGTTTGCACACACAGTAGCTGGTATTTTGGCCCCATTCCTCCATGCAGATCTTCTCGAGAGCAGTGATGTTTTGGGGCTGTCGTCGAGCAACGCGGACTTTCAACTCCCGCCACAGATTTTCTATGGGGTTGAGGTCTGGAGACTGGCTAGGCCACTCCAGGACTTTCAAATGCTTCTTACAGAGCCACTCCTTTGTTGCCCGGGCGGTGTGTTTTGGATCATTGTCATGTTGGAAGACCCAGCCTCGTTTCATCTTCAAAGTTCTCACTGATGGAAGGAGGTTTTGGCTCAAAATCTCACGATACATGGCCCCATTCATTCTGTCCTTAACACGGATCAGTCGTCCTGTCCCCTTGGCAGAAAAACAGCCCCATAGCATGATGTTTCCACCCCCATGCTTCACAGTAGGTATGGTGTTCTTGGGATGCAACTCAGTATTCTTCTTCCTCCAAACACGACGAGTTGAGTTTATACCAAAAAGTTCTACTTTGGTTTCATCTGACCACATGACATTCTCCCAATCCTCTGCTGTATCATCCATGTGCTCTCTGGCAAACTTCAGACGGGCCTGGACATGCACTGGCTTCAGCAGCGGAACACGTCTGGCACTGCGGGATTTGATTCCCTGCCGTTGTAGTGTGTTACTGATGGTGACCTTTGTTACTTTGGTCCCAGCTCTCTGCAGGTCATTCACCAGGTCCCCCCGTGTGGTTCTGGGATCTTTGCTCACCGTTCTCATGATCATTTTGACCCCACGGGATGAGATCTTGCGTGGAGCCCCAGATCGAGGGAGATTATCAGTGGTCTTGTATGTCTTCCATTTTCTGATGATTGCTCCCACAGTAGATTTTTTCACACCAAGCTGCTTGCCTATTGTAGATTCACTCTTCCCAGTCTGGTGCAGGTCTACAATACTTTTCCTGGTGTCCTTCGAAAGCTCTTTGGTCTTGGCCATGGCGGAATTTGGAGTCTGACTGTTTGAGGCTGTGGACAGGTGTCTTTTATACAGATGATGAGTTCAAACAGGTGCCATTCATACAGGTAACGAGTGGGGGACAGAAAAGCTTCTTACAGAAGACGTTACAGGTCTGTGAGAGCCAGAGATTTTCCTTGTTTGAGGTGACCAAATACTTATTTTCCACCCTAATTTACAAATAAATTCTTTACAAATCCTACCATGTGGATTCATGGATTTTTTTTTCACATTGTCTCTCACAGTTGAAGTGTACCTCTGGTGCAAATTACTGACCTCTGTCATCATTTTAAGTGGGGGAACTTGCACAATCGGTGGCTGACTAAATACTTTTTTGCCCCACTGTATAACTGAATTCCAAATTGCTTGCAGGCCCACTGAAGGCAGCATGTAGTAAAAAGTTGGTTGCTTATTGAGTAGAAAAGCTCTACAGACTGTGTCAGAGAATCCTAAATAAAAGTGTGAATTTCACAACAGGAAAGAACAAAACATCATGGTCAAGACAGGTCAGCAAACCTTTAACATGTTTTTCATATTTGGCACATGCAGTTTTAATCTGTGACTTATTGAAATTAAAGTCAATTCCACTTATTTAGGACTCACACACACTCCCTCAAAACAAATATCTAACCAATCCAGTTACCACAGACCCACAAGTCACACTTACATTACAAATAAATGAAACAGGAACTTTTCATAAATGACAAATTCTTCTACCAGCTCCCTGTGCAGCCTGGACACAGCTGGAGGTGTATGAAGTCGATGAGAGCGCCTCACTCAAACGTCAGTGTGAAGACAGGTTACTGAGTAAAATAACTGAGCCTGAAACACAAAAACTGTTAAATACACACTGGACAAATTCCAGAGTGAGAGTCTTTGATGATAATTTATTTTTCAATTTCAAGTAATGACGTTTTAGAAAAGCTCAGTAAAACTCTCATAATTCTGCAGACAGTAAAATATTTACAGGAAACAGAATGCCACAGAAAGAAAGTTCAGGTAAGACAGAAAACATTAAGTTTAAAAAAAAAAAAAAAGATAACAAATATAGCTAAGTGGCTCAAAATATTTGCAAACCAAAATACTGTTCCACCAAGTGGTTTTAAAGTCAGAGATAGAAGCAGATTTTCATACATCAGCTACACCCTCGTGTTTATCTTGTACAGTCTCCATCAGACGTGCGGTCGTACATAGAGACCAGTCACTGGCTGGGCTCTTCACTGTTTAAGGTTGTTGGCTTCTTGGTCGAGTACTCGACCACCCAGGGGTGGGACAGGACTCCCTGGATGGGCAGTCTGTGCATAGGGTTGTGCTTCAGCAGCCTGGCAACCAAGTCTTTAGCTCCAGCACTGATAGTGGCCTGTGGTGGGTAAGAGTACTCCACCTGGAGGTCAAAGACAGAAAATGGGAATAAATATTCAACTTTTGAGAGAAGCCGTAGAGCATTTCTGTACTGTGGTGGTGTCATACCCTTGAAATCCTGCGGTAGGTCTCCTCGTGGGTTTTTGCTTCAAATGGGGGTTTTCCAACCAGGAACTCGTAGCAAAGGACCCCGAGACTCCACAGGTCCACTTTCTCGTCATGAGTTTTCCCCTCAATCATCTCTGGAGGTAAGTAGTCCAGTGTCCCACACAGAGTGGACCTCCTGAAGAAAAGAGAAAAAAAAAAGTTTGTTCTCTTTAATGATATACAATTTCTTACCTGTGTAGGCTAAATCATTTCCATAGTTTCACCTTCAACATGATTAAAAGCGAAAAAGTTGCATGAACATACCTGGAGGACGGGGTGTGAACAGACCAGCCGAAATCCGCGATCTTGAGCTCCCCATTGGCCCCCAGTAACAGGTTCTCTGGTTTGATGTCCCTGTGGATCACCTTTTTGGTGTGGCAATAGTTGAGGGCATCTGCTAACTCCATGATGTACTAGAACAACACATTAAGCACACAAGTATTAAGCACACAACACGCATCACAGAAGAGATGCTTTAAGTGAACGTAAAACATCCTGGAAACAGGATTCTCTACAAATAAAGGGTAAAACTAGGGAAGCTCCTTAGATTATAGAACAACAAGAGTGCCGAAAAGGTCTTAACTCTGCACTCTTACCGTGGCGCTTATGTTCTCGGGAAAATGCCCACAGCGCTGGAGCTCGCTGTACAGCTCTCCCCTGGGTGCAAACTCCAGGATGAGGTACACACGAGAGGCATCGTGGAAGTAGCCATAGAGTCGCAGGATGTTCGGATGCCTGTAGGAAAATCAGGACCATTAGATATTTTGACAATCATCATTTCCAATATGTATGGACTCCCCAAACTAAACTGCTATTCATTACTATGGTAAGGGGTAATTTTACTGAAGGGAATGTGTAGTTGGCATATTTTAGTGCCATTTTTCTGTAAATGAATCCATGTGGTCATATTAAAAAAAAAGTTGGGCATATGGAAGTCCACAGAGTCTCACACTCGCCGTCTGATGATCAGATTTGTTGAGATTCAGAAACCATAGCGTGCCTGTGACGTTCTCCATATCTGAAGTAAAATCCAATCACTGAGGGAAAAGGTTTTAAACCTGACAGTGTTAACATTTAGATAAACGTGAAAACCCCACAGCATCTGAACATTTGTCTGACAGTGACATGAAGAAGAGTCTGATTTCCACAGATTAAAATAAATAAAAAATATATAATAATCAAAAAGATAAGTTATCATACTAACACAGGTCTTCCCAGCCGTACAGCAGGAGCATGCCAACACAGCCAAACAGAACACAAACCACATTTACACACTTTCATATGTGATGAGCCACATTAAAGCGATGGACCCATTCATACAAGAGACAAAAGGCATTCACAGGTTAAACTCTAAAACCATACGCTGTTGCTCGTAAAGACTTAAAATCATCAATCAGCAACATAAAACCAAGCAGATATTAGTTATGGGCTAATAATGTTTACTTTGAGGTGTTCACCTCATCTGCCCACTTCTTCTTGGCTCACTTATTTGCATTTTTACCAGTCGTAAAAATAAAAAAAAAATTCCTGCAATTGAGATTCAAACGACATTTTAATACTTTATTTTCCCCAAATTTAAAATTTAAAGGTCTGAATATTTGAGCAAGAACCCCACAGACACATTTACAGTCATTACAATTACGAAGAAACTAATACAATGCAGTTATATCTAATATGAACAATGAGCACAAGCCACAGATAATCTTCCATTTTGGAACATGTGTCCTAGACTTAAAAAACAGACTTTATTATTTTTGACCCAAAACGAGTGTCTGAGCCCGTGCACAAACTCAGAAGCAGCAGTTAAAGAGTTGGAGTCAGAAAGCTGTTTTTCCATAGACTTCTAAAGGACTTTTTGCAACCACATCCATCACAGTCTGCTGGCCTTCAGGAGTGCAGGGTTTGTAGGTACTTCTACATCTGCTTAATTTTTCTGACCTGGAATCTATGACTGTTTTATACCATTTGTATGAGACTCAAGACCAGGACTGGGCATCGTCACCAACATCTACAACTGATTCTATTCTGATTTGCAAGGTCCCGACTCCATTCAATTCAATTCAACTTAGAGTCAGAAATATTATAATCATTTATCTTTGATTCGTACTGTCCAAAGAATGCTCTAAAAATGGTAAATTAAAAATATTTCATTTCAAATTACTTGAAAATATCTCTGCAATTACAAACTCAGTGTAAATTATCTAGGCATAAAAACAAAGCTGACACCTGTGAAACTTCATCAGAAGTGCAAGCCTCACAGCTGATGCCTTTGTGTCAAAGTAGCTAATGATTAATCACAGAAAAATATGAAGGAGAATTTCCTGGCATGGCTTTTTATAGCAGAAAGCCACTGCTGGCTGATTTTGTGGTGTGATTTTGTTGTGGTGGAAGCAAAACAGCCAAAGTAAGAGGGAACATATTAAAATATATTGGACCAGAAAATAGATTTTTTAAAACTCACTCCTACTCAAGACAGTTTTGAAAAATCAGACAAGGATCCAAGATAATTTGAGTAGAATAATGCTGTTGTGCTGACTACCAAAGTCATTTTTGCTTACTTTCCCTACAATAATCAGTCACTTCAGTTTGACCCCATCTCTTTTCCCTCATCTGTAGCTCGCCTGCAGTGGGTCTATTCAATTTTCTCAATTCAATTTTATTTATATAGCGCCAAATCACAACAAAAGTCGCCTCAAGGCGCTTTATATTGTCTACTCACCACAGTTTGAGAAACGCTAGTCTGGGGAGTAGTTAATTACAATTAACAGTAAAATATAATTCGACAGATGTTACCTGAGGTGAGACTGGATCTCCACTTCTCTCCTCAGCTGGTGCTCCACCCCAGCCTTCTCCAGCTGCTTTTTGAAGAGCACCTTCAGGGCCAGGATGAACTTAGTCTGTCGCTCCCTGGCGAGGTAGACATTCCCGAACTTCCCCTTTCCCAAAGGACGACCAATGTCAAAATTTTCCAGACTCCATCGTGTCCTGTGTGAGCAAACCAGCACACGGTTACAGCAAGAGCGACATAAACTTTAACCTGTCATAAAAGTATATGGATGAGACAAGGAACTACTCTTAAACGTACTTTGATGTAGAGGTTTGTGCATGATCGTTCTTGGCAGGTTTGTCTGGACAAAGAAAGAGGAGGATACATTTTAGCACCCAAAACACAGACACAAACACCATTGTTTTCCCAGTTTAGTATTACACTTACCCTGTGGCTTCTCTGGCTTTTGTGGTTCCAACTGGGGTTTGGTCAGGTTTGGTTTAGGAGCTTGCGTTTTCAGCTGCTTTTGCTGGGTGCTGGGTTTGAGCTGTGTTGCTGCATTTACATTCTGAGTAGCGGGGTTCACATTCTGATCAGCAGGGTGTGTCGACTTGACAGTAGCGGGCAGGTTTGACACTGGTTTCTGGTGACTCATAGGCCTCTGAACGCGCTGAGGTCCATTTGATACACCTAGAACTCGCTGATGCGGGGTTGGTGTGACTACAGCCTTCTGAATGGGCTGTGACTGCTGCAATACAGGAATCCGCTTGGGCCCATCACTGGTTGACTGCAAACAAACAAGATAAACAATAATAATAATTGAAAAAAGCTTCAAGCTTTTTACTTTTTTTTTAAAGTATTATAAATTAGCTTTACCTTGAAAAAAAAAATAAAAAAAAAATTGTAATTTGAAATTCATTTCATTTCTAAATTTTCTTAACCATCTATTCAACCTAGTCTCTCACTGAGCACATCCTGGACAGGTCGCTGGTGTGTCACATGGCTAACAGAGACGGAGACAACCATATGCTCTTGCCAACGTCCAATTTAAGGTCATCAATTCTGCTCATATTATCAAGATTAACAATGCTTTTTGTGGTGTAGTCAATATGGTCAGTTTAGTTTATTTATAAGCTCATTTAAAAAAAATAAATGCTGGCTACCATCCCGTACAACTGGACGGGTAAAATACATAGGTAATAAAAATAAAATAGATTTTAAAAAGAAAAAATGAGAACATGAGTAAAGCAAGATTGAGAAAAAGTAATCCAATTAGAGTTAAAAGCCAATGATGAAAACAGGTTTTGAAAATGTCTAATGCTGGAGGGGTCCAGATGTGCAGATGCAGTTTGTTCCACTATTTAGGAGCAAAAACCCTGATCAGCTGTTTTAATCTAGGAGAACCTGCTAAGCAGATCTCAGTGATCTAATGGAAGTAGGCAAAGTTATATGGAAGCAAGAAGGTGCAAACGCATGCAATGCCTTAAAAATGATATGTGGTCTGTCTTGCACATGCCAGTTAAAAGTCAAGCTGCAGCATTTTGGACCAGTTGCAGTCAGGGTAATAGTGACAGACTGTCACCTGAAAAGTCAGGACTCTAAAAATCTGAAACTTTGAAATCTGTTTACCTTTGTGAGTTCCCTAATCTGAAGAAGAAAAAAAAACCCCAAACAAACAAGTTTTAACAACAGCATTTATCTTTTACCTCAAAAGACAAGGTTATCTAAATTAACAAACACCAATTCTATTTTAATCAGTGGATCAATACTCCTATGATCACATACAAGTGCTTAGTTCTGGCCATGTTCATTTTCACCCATCCAGCTTTGTGGGTAAATTCTCTCTTAGGTCCGTTTTTGGTGATGCATATGCCGAGTCTCTATATACACTAGATCTTCTTAATAAGCCATATAGAAAAGTGTCCAAAGACACTGGTATGCTTGGAAGCGCAAATCTAATGCCATACACAGTAATCAAGGATATTTACCAAAACAAAACAAGAAACAAAAACACACATTTAATAAAATTTTTAACCAGCCCCGGGTTTATGATGAGTTACCTTAATTTCAGGCCTTTGAAGTTTCGTGCCTTTTGGCATCTTGTGCATAGCAGTAGAGTCCATAATCTAATAAAGAAGTAAACGGAGACAGGTTTTATTCAAAGAAATTGTTAAAAACGTGATTGGAATTAAGAAAAACATGCAGTTTGTTTAACTCTTTAGTCTGTCACATTTCTTCTAGCTAAGGAGGTTGGAAGAGACGCTTTTCTTTTCAACCTCCTTAGACTACGATGACCGAGAACCTTCAAGACATTTCTTCTAGCTTAAAAAAACCAAACAAACCCAATAACAATCCTGTTTGGATATAGACGCTCTTGTATTCATGTCTGAAATAACTGTTTAAAAATGTATATACAATTTACAATGTTTATTCTGTCAGGAAGATTAACAGTAGCCATCATCGTCACGTTGTTGCCGATCAGGTAAAGTTAAATTAGCATCCACACCATAACACCACGTTAAACATCACCTTTTTGCAACAAGCTAGTTGTATGAAACCACTTACCTAAATATATTATTGCAATGACCCGATTCAGCGCTAAACGATAATTTTTCTAGAACATAAACAGGTCGAAAACAGCTCCAAGGGAGGCTAGCTAACAGCTACATCGGCCAGTAGACCACAGCTGGCGTTTGTGGCTCGCTACAAACATAAGGACTATCCACGAAGACGTTACGACGAGTCTACCTTAGTATCACTTCTTTTTTCTGAAAAATACTACATGAGTGCTAATAAAACAATAAAGTCGAAACACAAAGCTGTAGCAGTACAGAGACTGACTGAGATTGGCTAACTCTCCGAACACTGCTCGTTTAATTTCAAACGGCCCTCGGTTTAAAACCTTTAAATACAACACAGGCTGCTATTGGCTGAGGGAATGCTCAGTACTCACTCTCCATTGGCTGAGGCTATCGCGGCGGCCGGTGGAGAGTGACGTACTAACGTCGAAGTGAATCTTCCAAAACACTAGGGGGCAGTCCACAGACACTGTCAGTACAGGAACTCTTCCATACCACATGCTATTACACTTAATGATTTTATTATTACTTCAGCTGCTTGAAAAAAAAGTTTCTTCCCAAATATAAACTCAGAAAAACAAGAGTTAATCATAGTTTCATAGTATTTTCTTTCTTTTTATTACTATCAATGATATCGCTTTTGAAATCTATTTAAATTTATTATTTTTGATTCCCAGTAGATCAGAAATTACAAAACGCATTTATTTGTCTTTATATTATTATAATTATTATTGGACGACTTTCTTTAAAAAGAAAAAAAGTTAAATCAGCAACAAATATAAGGAATAAATGCAATGCTTAAGTAAATAAAAAATGCAAATTACATAATCAACTGCAAATTATAAAGCGAGTTTAGAGCCCTCCTTTTATTTGTTTGTGTTGTCTAAATAACACGAACAAATAAAGCCTTTTATTTATTTTATGTTTCTTTTTGTTTTTGCTAGTTTTAAAACTTTGGCTGGAAAATGTAAGAAAAACAACTTCTGACCCCCTCACAGATAATTATTACACAAACTAAAGGCTTATATAACCGAAAGGCTTATATAACCGAACAGCAAATGATTTATTAGAAAACTACGTAGAATTTTTTTTAATTACATGTCTTCAAACCTTTGCTAAGATGTGTATTACTAATATATGAGAAACTACATCCAGGGAGAAATAAACATTAATTAAGTGATTTCCTTTGCAAGATATCTTTGGGCATCTCTTGGTGGGTAATTAATCTAATTACGTGGTGATGAATCCAGTTTTATCAGTACCGTAGGGTCAGATATATCCAGCAAAACAGGCTTCCAAGAGATTCAGAATAATCATAGGATACTGTTATGATTTTTGTGGATTAAGAAAAGAACTTATATCCCATTTGTGGTGTTTTATTGAATTGTGCTAATGACTCAGACACAGACGATAAGGACATTTTCTCTGTTTTCAAAGATACTATGAGAATTTTATGTTGTGCAAGGGCAGCTTACATTCTTCAATATCACTGTTGCACTTCAGTGACCATTAACTATCTAACCATTAGCAGCTAACTGGCCAGAAAATGTATTGAAAGAAATCTCATTATGTCCCTGGAAGTATATGTAAATAAGAGAGCAGGGGCATGCAGATGTGATGGGTGTGAGGTTAGATCAGCCGAGGTTAAATATGATTTATTGCAGTAATCAGGGCTGCAAGACAAGTGACACCAAAGTGCACCATGCACCTGCAGTGGTGATGCCATTTTTGGTGTGCATCACCTTTTGTAAGGATAACACTGAGAATAAACTATCTGTTTATTCCGTTTGAACTGAAGAGCTTTTTATATGCTATTTATGTATTTATATGCTTAATTAGAATAAAAAGTAATACATTATAAAAGAAGAACAACTACAAGAAAACAATGTATACTGAAAAATAATATGTAAAAATCTATCAAAAAAATTGCACCATGTTGAGAAAAAAATACTAAAAACGTAATAAAACAGTACTTAATTAAACAATTTCAGTGACTTGCATACGTTTCCATTCACACTGTTCAAACTGGTTTGGTATAAAAATGTGTGTATGATGGTGTAAAACTGTTCCTTAGAACAGTATTTCTCAAACCACATGAGTGTGTGACCCATAGCCAAGGGGAGCTCAAGTAATTTTTGAAAATTTCAACACCTGTAAGAGATCTCAGCTAAGTTTGAGAGCAGGTGTTCTGGGAATCCATCCTACCTGGCAAACCATAAGGCCCATGCTTCTTTGAAGTGTATTTGCTTTTTTATTATTGTGTACTTTTTCCATACCAGATATACAGTGTTGGAAGGGGAGTAACGGAATACATGTACCGCCGTTACGTATTTAAAATACAAAATATGAGTAACTGTATTCCGTTACAGTTACCGTTTAAAAAGGTGGTATTTAGAATACAGATACTGTGTTGAAATAAATGGATTACACGGTGGTATTTGCCTGATTCATATTGTCACGGGTCAGGACGGTTTTGTTTGACAGCTATGTTCTGTTGTTCCAGCGTTATGGTGGCAGCGTTACGGTTGCCATGGTTACAGGGTGTCGCTCTCTCTGCGACTGTGTGTTTCCTGGGTGAGAGAGCGCCTTTTTGTTGTTGTTGTTGTTGTTGTGCTAAGCTGAATGCTACAGAATGTAGCCTCATGGGCAGTGTAGTCCGTGCTGCGGGGAGAATGGACTGCCATATCCGTTATGTGTCTGTGAGCGCGAGGAGGGAGAAAAAAAGTGCGAGCTGTCACCGAGCAGAAACGGGAGCTGGAAGCATGTTAATATAATAATAACCACTGCAGCCAAGAAGAGTGCCTGACGAGCCCAGTTGTAAGTAAGCGATTAAGACTCGACTGTACACCGTGTTCGTGTTTTCCTCTGAAACAATAAGTTCCTTGGAGCAGCCTTTCTCGGTCTCTCGCTAGCAAACCTGACCCAGACAACAAAGTAAAGCTAGTTTTCGGCTATGAGCCGTGGACCTTCAGTAATAGTAATAAATCACATTCATGTAGTTATAAGCAGCATGATAATATATTAAGTAATCCAAAGTATTCAGAATACGTTACTCACGGAATACGTTACAAAATACATTTTGGGGCATGTATTCTGTAATGGAATACATTTTAAAAGTAACCTTCCCAACACTGCAGATATGTAACACAGCTGCTCATACACTGGTTCAAAATAAATCAGTCTGACTTGGGGTTCAGTATTTTTTAAATTTCAATAGTCCTGTAGAAATATGTCACCCAAAATATATAAAATATGAATCATTTCCTCTTCCACAAACATTTTAAATAATTCTTTTTAATTAGCATCATTTCATTTCCTTCATTTTTTCCCAGAAATTGTAACTGTGACATTTGTCCACTACGTGGCAGCATGTGGCGCCTGCATGATGAAGTCAGAACTTCAATCATCCTGTCAAATGTGCAACGTTTCCCGTTTATGTCAGGTAACTCCCTCTGTGTTTAAAATATACAACCATTGCCTCCAGCAAGAAACCAGAAAACAAGAAAGAATATCTGACAAAAGCTCTTAAATAAAAAGGGTTCAAATATTTTATTCACACATTCTGCATTTGGTGAGAATCTTTTACACAATAACCCATTCAGAAAACAAAAATTATTACGTGAACATGTTGTTTTCCTTTAAAAATCAACCAAACTCATAGTTTGCTCTTCCAAATTGTTCTTTTTCCAAAAATAAATATCCCTGACATAGATAAAAAATATTTATAAATATGTTATAGACAGAAAGTTGTGCGTTTACCATCGCCACACAGATTCCCACTATGAGACTATCTCAAACACAGAGTATCCACTGAAACAGTTTTATCAAAAAGCTTGCTTAGCACATGTAGCAGCTTTTACTGGTAATAATTGTGAAGCTTTCGGCCCCGGCATTCAGTGATCATGCTTACAGGATTATGCACGTGCTGATAAAACTACTTCAGTTGAAACGACCTCATGTTTAGTATGTAAAAAGAAGTCTGACCCTTGTTTCTACACAGTAAACAGATTCATGTTTATGTTACATTAAAGCAGCATTTGAGAAGGTCTACTATACCTTTTTAAAAGTATAAATATGGCAAGTACTTTGATCCCTTCATTTCACTTAAATACCTCAATGACATAAGTTATTACATTACATCAGTACAGTTTAGTATCAGGCTTGCATTCGTACCTAGTACAGTCTGTTGTTGTAACTGAGGTCCCATACGAAAACACTGTTGAGGTGGCTCTCTTACACAAATAAACCTTACTGTGGTCACTGTGGATAACCCAAACCGTTTAATCTGACCTGCTTGCATGCATTTGTGACATTCAGTGCGCTTGACATGCCGCCTCCATGGCTAATATCAGCCATCATTTCTCAGTGTACGCATTTGTTACAGTCACTCCTATACGTCTCACCATGACCTGTTTTTCTGCTGTAAACGTGAAGCTCGGACCAGAGACGATATGCTGGGATTCTGACACATTTCTGCCAGATGAATACACACCTGGAGAAGGCATTTGTAAAGACAAACAGCAGCGTCTGCATTGGCACATTTCTTGTGTTTCCAGTCCTTCCACATTGCACCTTTTTTCAAAGACACAAATGGCAGTAGTGTTTAAATGTCCCTGAGTGAGCCACCAACTTTTCAGCGCCCTATCAAAGCAGTCCCGCCAGGCCGCATCACTAGAAACCACTCAGACCTCCTTTAGGCAGCAGTCTCCGGCTTAGAATATAACTGGTAAAAGTACACAACATGCCAAATTGTACCCTTAAATAATACAAAAATCCCCAAAGCACCAAACAGGACCAGAGTATCATAGAAGGAGGCTGGCTGTTCTGCTGTGCAGTCCAATCTGAAACTTAGCTGAACACCAGAGTTGGGTGTCATTTCTCTGTGACTGCAGCAGCCATCGGGGTGCGTATGGTCCCACGTGCTGTGGCTGCCAGCTCCTCGATTTCTGTATTCAGTCGCCTGATAACCCACTCCACGGCCTCACGGCCCTGTTCGAGAACAAAGTGAAATGTTAGTTCACGGGAAAATGAGTTGCATCAAGTAGAATACAAGAACAGAAGAGACGGCGTGCCTGAAACACGTAAACCCACTTCATGCAGCGACTGGTCTGGAGAGAACGTTAAGCTGTTGACTAGTCATCTCGTAGTTTTTAAAGATTTTTCCACACAAGTACTTTTGGACGTACAAGTGAAATGCCACAAACCTGCTGCTACTGCCCCAGCATAACAGTTATCATCTCCCTTCTTTTCTTGCGATTTGCAATGGCTATAAACACTTCTGCCTATATGTAATTACAGCTAGGTTTTAGTTATTTAACCAACACTAGTCACATGCAAAACTACTTAAAACTTTACCAATCTCAGTACAGTTTGAAGGAACCTCTTACCTTTCCAGCATTAGTAGAGATGGTGCTGGCCATAACTCCCTCCAGGTAGCTGCTGAGACTGACCCCTTTCACAGAGATGATAGCCTCCTGGGTCAATATTGTTCTAAAAAAATCGTGAAATCAAAGTTATGGTGTGCATTGAACAATCTGACACTTCAAGCTCAGAGTGTTTATAACACATGTTACATCAGTGTAACAGTGTTAAAACTTACTTTTCTGGATCTTCAGGGTGTGGTTTATATGTTAATTTTTCATCCACAGATACCATGTTTGTGAATGTGATCTGGAGAGAGGGAAATGCAAATTGTGAGATTATGGAGAGATCATGCCTTACAGCAATAGGACAATAACCATAAGTCAATTGTTAAAACACCAGAAAAGGCATTAACAAAAAGAAAAAAAGAAAGAACTCAAATTCTTCCATTATTGCAGGTGCGGTGAAGCAAGTTCACAACAGACTAGTTACAAATCAGAATACTTATTAATCCATTAAAAAAAATTATGTGCAGATTATATGGTGTCTCCAAGACAATAAGAACAGTAAGAGACTGAACTAAATCAAAAACGTATCAGACTTGAAGATTTTCATGCTCTTAACGAGTTGATTGAATCACAAAGTTGAAGTTCTTTTTTAGTTCCAAAATACTCTACATGTGCCTCTAAAGTTAAAATGCACTCTGCTAAGAAGTGACTTCTCACGCAGTTTAACAAGTTGGACTTGATTCCAGGATTAAGTCACAGAAACTCTTCAGATGTGTGCATGTCAAACAGGTCTCATAAGAACATGTAAGAAAAATTCTCCCATTCTTAGCAGTCAGAAATGAAATCAGATTTGCTCCTGCTTGCCAGCATCATGGTCTATATTCAGCTGGCAGCACAACGAGGTACGACTGTAAAAGTGTGCTTTGATCCGTGCTCGGTAATCTGGTTTTTCACCCACTGTGAGCCAAAAAACAGGAGGTGTTTATACAATATTTGTAATTTTTTAAAACTTTTTAGTACTCACATTTGAAGACTGAAGTTCAAAAGTCTGCTCTTTGGGATCAATAACTGATTGTTCCTGAACATAAGTGTATGTTCGTGCGTTACCAACGAGCTGAGGACAAAGAGAGAGATACATTTTACACAAACCTTAAAAGATATTTCAGAAATGGAGCAGATAATTCAAAGATAATTCAAAAAAGTGAGGTTAGAAATCATAATTGACCTTCTAATGACTCTAAAGTTCATGTGAAGAAGTGTTACTTAATCTGTGTTTTAAGTAGAAACATGAAGGCTGCAGCTGAGTAAACACTTTGTGTTTTCACTAAATTACTACTTCCATGGATTACTTCCAAAAGAGGCTTTTTGATACCACGACACCTTAATGCGAGTTAAATTATCACATGGTGCAAATGTTAACTTCTTGTAACTCATATGCCATATTTTCCAGAGTACAAGAGGCAAAATAGACTGCAGTAAGAAAAGGCTGATTCCACTTGCTTGAGCTTCAAATTGATGATTTAGTTTGCCACAACTACAACTCTCCTAGGAGACCTTTGTCACAGGGCATCATCCATAAGATGGATCTAGTTCATACGCAGAGACTGAGGCAATCTGATTAAAGATTACATTAATACACTATCAATCACCGGGTCATAGTCTGTCCTTGGAATTACAGAGGCTAGTCATAGATGTAGTGAGTGAGCATTCCTTCACCCGAAGAAATCCAAGCAAAGGTCAGTGCTGACGAACAGCACCTGATTTCCTAATATTTAAACAGTTAAACAGTATGTAGCATATCAGCTTTCTGCAGTCTTATCATTACTGGCTTCAAAAAGTGAGGGTCAGAAGGAAAAGTTCAATGACATGACAGATATTCAGAGGCTTCCGTCACTGCTCCGATTCAGGAGACTGCTAGTTTTAACTGGGCTGACATACAAAGACGGAAAGTTACATCACATGGCGTAAAGGGTTACATCTGAGCAATGACAGAAATGTCACTACGGTGTCCTGTACAGCACGAGTCATGGCACGCAGCCATGAACCCGCCTGGGCAGACAGGTCAGCTGTTGCTACTATTCCTGGACAGAAATAGCCTGATAACCTGTTAGGTTATCGCTGCACTTGTTGAACGGAAAGCCTTAACCTCTCACCATTGCCACGCTTCTATCTGCTTTTTCTATCATTTGATAAGATTGTGCGTTTGTCAGTGATGCACAGCTGGGTTTTGATACTCACAGATTTCACTATAGATGGAAGCCCCCACTCTGTGCTGAGCAGTCTTTTACTGTGGAGGCATCCTTGTGTGTCAATTTTTCTGTCCAGAACATCCACCCCAACCACACTGGGGTTCATGGGGTTTGGGTACTTCTGCATAGCAGCTTTAATCACCATCTCCCAAGGGTGGCTGTTGAAGCAAAGAAAAATATTAATATTGTAACAAATAAAAACTGCCAAATACACATTTTTATGTCTTATACATTATATTTACACAAACTGAATACAGAGCTAAAATAATTCTTTATAAATTACCATTTTATGTTGGCTATCAACATTAAATCCAATATCAGCACTCATTTTATCTCACATCTATTAATTTATTCTCTTTCCTTTGTATAATATCTCAAACTAGTCCTTTGCGTTACATTTTGGTAGCTATTCTATTTCATTTAAGCAATTTGTGTCATGTTTTTCTTCTTTTTTGGCTGTATGAATATATTTTCCAACACTGCTAAAGCGAGTTTGCTAACAATACACACATTTAACAATTAAATGACTAGTGAATTAACCACTACTTAGTAACAAAAAAAATGTTTTGTTATGTGATCATTTAAAAAAAAAAAAAAAGATTCGAACTTGTGTTTAAAGCATTTAATGTGTCAAAATATTTTAATGAGTCTAAACAATTTCCCACTTTCCAATTTTTCAAAATATCCATCCAAAGTTAGTTAAGTAGATATATAATGTTTGAACAAAACATCAGTAAAGAGCGCTCATTGAGTAAAAATGTTGTTTTGAGTGGTTGCCATGCACTGGCCCGTTGCGTAGTGACGCACACGGAGATGTAGGGGAAAGGTTACGCACCAAGGGCTTGACCTGGCTGGCTGATTATGCAATGACAAAAGCATCTGTAACCAGAAACCGGCAGTTCCGCACACACCATGGCTATGTTAATACTTTTACAATCACCTATGAACTTGCGTGACTTCTTTTAAGCATTACATTGTTTTTAAAATTACACACAGACTGACAACGAATAGAATACGTCTGGTACTTCTCCTTAGCATGTCATTTTAGCATACAAGCTAGCGACAGTAAAGTTATACCGTAGACAGGTTATATTTCACTTACATAGTCCGTTAGTTATAGTTAGGAACATCGTCTGGTTACAGTTTTGTGTTATAAACCCTACGTGTGTTGTTCAGCGGATTAAAACTAGCGTTACTTAAGTGCTGAACCACACACCGAGCTCCTGCAGGCCGGACATAAAAACGCTTTGCAGGGGTAATTTACTCACTTGAATATGTGCTCTGAGGTCCAGATCTTCATGGTTTAGGTAGCTGATCGCTGCTGGTGAAAGGGGGGTAATTTAAAGAGCCGGTAGACTGGCACAGACGCACTGACAGACCGGGGTGAACCACGTTCAAAGACAACCGCATGTCTCCTCCCTTCATACCAGAGCAAGTCACGGGTGCGTGACGCACTTCCGCTACTGTGGCACATGCCGTACAAGTCCGCTGACCCTGGAATAGAAGGATAAGAAATAGTTTATCGTAAATGTCCATGGACAATTCACTTAACCGATGTAACAAAAGCGTGATTATAACATATCACCTTAAGTATGCATAATACGTTTTTTCCCATCAGGCTTGGCAGGCTCTGTGAATATCGCCCTTGTCTGTTACACAACTCAGCTGAAGGTTAAGACCTACTCAGCTGATGCAACAGGACGGAGTCACAGATCAAATCTTCATGTAATGGTTCAGCACTTGGTTATAAGTGTGCAGGCTCTGTAGATCCCGAGTCTTTATTACGTTCTTAATTTTCTCTGCGCAATTATGAAGTGACAGACTTGTTTTACTGAGTGAAAACAGGATTTATTTTCACTTTCCCCCCCTTTTGCTCAGTTTTCAGTTAGGTTTAGTTTAGTTTATATAGCAAAAAAAAGTTACCCCCACCCCTCAAAAAACAAATCTTTATTGACAGATCTTTAAAAAATTTTTTTAATATATATACAACTGTGGGCGGTATTTTTCAGGAGCAATATTTTAGAAAATTTGCAATATGCGTTACAAAGAAAACAGCAATACTCACATTTCCTTTAAAAAAATATATTTTAGTTTTTTTGTGTGCAGTGTTTTTTCAGTCAAGTTTTGCTTCTTCAAAAGTGTTCTTTGAAAGTGTTTTGTCATACCTAGTTCTGGCTCAGAGTAACAACCTTGGGGTAAATGGTCGTCCTTGTCAATGGGAAGATGAGCTACTGGACGAGTTTGGGAACTGCTAGTACTGTGAGTGCTGTGTCAAGTAAAAACTGGTGTCCTTATCTCTTCCAGTGCAAGACAGTTCCAAGTAATTTTTTCAAGCTGAGTGTGATATCTTGTGGTTAATTACATAATTATTCAATAAAATTACAATAAATGTTAATGCTGCTGGACAGGATTATGTGAAATAAAGTTATTTTTTTAACATTTACATAGCTTTTGAGTTATTACTGAATACTCAAACTATTGAGAATGAGAAGTAATATCTCTCTTTAGTCAGTCCTTTTCTTTTTTGAGTGATATTAACCCTGCTTGCTTTTTGGTAAACATGACAGCTGTTTTTCCTTCCTAGCTTTGTTGCTACATTGTAGAATTTGTCCTCTGTGGGGCAATACTGCACTTGTCACCATAACCTATACCCCCGTGTGATTTACAGGCTTTTCTTTAATCCCAGTGCAGTGTGGCTTTATTGCGGTTGAACTTGGACATCTTGGCAGCATGTGTACTTATCTCAGAGTGCAGCTAGTTTGTTCGAGTTATGAGTAATCTCTATGCCCCAGGCTCGTGAAAGTGGGAGGAAACTGTGCGACAGCCTTAGCCGGTATCAGTGTCAGTGTGCTGTCAGAGGAACGTCCATCAGTAGAGCTGAGTTTAGTCCAGTTTAGCTTAAAATTGTGTCACTGAATTAAAAGTAAAAATATGGTTTTCCTTTTTCATTGTTGGAACAAAATTTCACTCTTGTTTTACTGTTTTTAATTGCTATCACAACTTATGCAAAATGCAAACGATACTGGTCAAGCAGTGTAAAGGTGACACTTCATGTTTAAAGCTGATGGATATATATTGCTGCCAAAACATTACTTTTCATATATACATGCAAAAATAGTATTTAACAAATTTACTGTGAAATTAAAAAAAAATCGAAAACGCACATTCAAGCACATGATCAGTTTAAGAATACAAAGCAGACAATCACCATTATTGTTGCAAATATGTTGCAGCACCTTTTATCACTTACACCAACAACAGATGCGACAAACTACAGAGTAAGAGTTCATTTTAATACCAATATTCCAACATTTCTTCTATCTTCTACTCATCTTTGGCTTCTTTGCTCATTTCAGTCACTGTTTCCAACGTAACCTCCACCTTAGACTGTGCCTTTCTTGTTGCTGATGGTGAGGGTCCCTCCTCTTCTTCCTCTTCTGGTTCCCAATCTAGATCAGCAGTGGCATCTTGGTACTGCTGGTACTCTGAGACCAGATCATTGAGGTTGCTCTCTGCCTCCGTAAACTCCAATTCATCCATACCTTCCCCCGTATACCAGTGGAGAAACGCCTTCCGTCTGAACATCATGACGAACTGCTCGCCCACTCTTCGAAACACTTCCTGAATGGCTGTGTTGTTGCCAATGAACGTGGAGGCCATTCTGAGGCCTCTAGGTGGGATGTCACACACGGCGACCTTCACGTTATGGGGGATCCAATCCACAAAGTAGTTGCTGTTTTTCTGCTGGATGGCAAGCATTTGCTCATCCACTTCTTTGGTGGACATCCTACCACGGAAGACGCCAGCGACCGTGAGGTAGCGGCCTCTCCTCGGGTCGCACGCTGTCATCATGTTGCGGGCGTCAAACATCTGCTGGGTGAGCTCCGGTACAGTGAGAGCTCTGTACTGTTGGCTGCCACGTGGCGTCAGAGGGGCAAAGCCTGGCATGAAGAAATGAAGGCGAGGGAAGGGCACCATGTTGACGGCGAGCTTCCTCAAGTCGGCGTTGAGCTGTCCAGGGAATCTCAGAGAAGTCGTGACCCCGCTCATGGTCATGGAAACCAAGTGGTTGAGGTCCCCGTAAGTCGGCGTGGTCAGTTTTAACGTGCGGAAACAGATGTCATAGAGGGCCTCGTTGTCAATGCAGTAGGTCTCGTCAGTGTTCTCCAGAAGTTGGTGGACTGACAGCGTAGCGTTGTAGGGCTCCACCACCGTGTCAGAGACTTTAGGCGACGGCATGACACTGAAGCTGTTCATGATGCGGTCGGGGTACTCCTCACGGATTTTGTTGATGATGAGGGTTCCCATTCCAGAACCAGTGCCGCCCCCGAGTGAGTGAACCAGCTGGAATCCCTGCAGGCAGTCGCAGCTTTCACTCTCGTGCCTCACCCTGTCGATCACCTGCTCCACCAGCTCTGCGCCCTCTGTATAGTGGCCTTTTGCCCAGTTGTTCCCAGCTCCTGAGTTTCCTGTAATGCCAGAATAAATGTATGTAGGTCAAGGATACTGATAACATGCATCACAATTTTAAAAAGAAAAGAAATTGTGACATTTTTCAGTTCTAGGGCAGTAAATGTATCAACTTTTCACAGGTTAAATGCTTAGCACAGCTATTTTGCAATAATTTTTTATCAGTTTTACCAGTTTTACTTTCTGAAATTCAATAAGTCAAATTCAGTTGGGTTTTTTTTTTTAATAAAGCCAAGATGGAAACCTTATTATTTTCTTACTGCAAGGCTAATATTATAAAAATAATATAGCATTTACACTGTACAACTCTATCCAAGAGCTTTCTAAATCCAAAGCACAACATGTAGTGTATAATATAGTAAACTGCATATAGCCTCCTTTCTCAAAAAGTCATGAAAATCAAAAGCAGTGAAATGTGAGACAGAAAGAGTTTCAGAGTTTGCATATTATTGATTATCTCACCATGGATGAAGTTGTCTGGTCTAAAAAGGGCCCCAATGCGGCTTCCTCTTACACTGTCCATGGTGCCAGGCTCCAGGTCCACCAGTAGGGCCCTGGGGACATATTTACCACCTGCAAACACAGTTGAAGTTTTAAAAAAGACTTAATTAATTTTAATATTGTTTATTTGTAAATTTGTAAACAGCTGGAATTTATAAATAAAAATTTGAAATTTATCAAGCCAGATAAAGCAGCTCAAGTTAATAACGCACCGTGCGCCTCGTTGAAGTAGACGTTGACCCTCTCCAGTTGGATGTTGCTGTCTCCTTCATAAATGCCTGTTGCGTTGATCCCATGTTCTTCACTTATCACTTCCCAAAACTGCCAAGAAATAAAAGCATCAGTATAACATAAGCAGAAGCAAAAATGTTTGCAGATGCAGAAAATTAATACTTCATTTAACACTTTTGATGTTAAGGTTTCTTTAAATGGTTTCTTTAAAAATATATTTTGATCACTGTTTGCAGTATTTACAACCCTAATGACCATTAAAACAAAAAGGTGTAGGCTAAAATATCAGGCTGTTAAATCTACTGTTTTTTTCTAAATAACAAGAAATTTATAACATCTCACCAAATTAATAGATAATAAAAAAAATGAAAACCATACATCAGCACTAAAGTTGGTTACCACATTACTTTTAAACATTTATTTTACATTTTCATATTGAATGTTCCACCAGTTAATCCCTCAATATTTGTCCGGACCCCTACTTTTCCGCCCTGAGTTCAAACTGTTACTCTCTAATTTCAAACAGCCTCTGAATACACTTTAGATTTAGATTATTTTGTGCTTTGTGTTTTGTGAGTATAGCATTAAGATTAATAAAAAAATTTAGGGTGTGTAGTTTAACAAATAAGGAAGTGGTTGGTTCATTTATGATTTTTAAAGCTTTCTTCTGTTGCATGTAAATTGGATTAAACTGGAGTTTATTTACACACACGATGTGCAGAATTTGCTATTGGACATAAAATTAGATTTTTTTTAAAAATTGTCTCAACTGCAAAAATCAACAAGTTTGTTTAACTTCCCACGTATGCAATATATTCGAAATGACTTTAATTAAGTTGCGCTGACTGCTACAATAATTGACTTTATCTTTTAACATTTTAGTTTTACGTATTAGACACATCAGGTTGTACAAATGGAAATCTTTACATAAACAATACAGAATTAATAACAGATTCCTCAAGCTCAGATCTCGAGTTGTACAAATGGTAAAGTTATTTAAAGTCAGCATCTTGAGTCAACTTTAAAAGTATCTAAAAGTGTTATGTTTTCAGCTTTATTATCTTGTAGTTTCACTCTCTTTTTTGTGTCAGCGACGATAAAAATGTCACACCCAGTGCTCGCACTGCAGTTCTCATTTTAGCTCTTATCTTTAGCCTGAATGCCTGACAGGGAACACCCTGTGTCACTCAAAACTGTTTTTGATATGCAAAGAAAAATTGCATGTGACAATATACACCGAAATAGAAAAAAGC